GTATTGTGTGTTTTGTAAAAATACGCTATTCTTTGTAGCCGGAAATGGTGATTCAGTTATTCCTGATATCACGATGACGCTGGGAAAGACCAAGAAGATTGTCAAATACATTTAATTTTGCGTTAAAATAAGGCCTAAAATCCTTTCTTGGCAGGGTTTTCTTGAGTTTCGATTTCTGGTTTACAACTTTGCCCTCAGGAAATCAAGATATTAATCATGGTGTCAAATGGCCACAAACATTGTTTTGCACACTGTTCTTTTTATTCGCTAGCTACATGCAAATAGATTTCTATAAAACAGTAGGGGTTTGTATACATTTTTTTTCACATCCTCTGGAAACAAATCGAGCATTTTGACTCGTTAAATTGGTTGAAAAACACGATAATTGCAGTTATAGAAAAAAATCACGAGTGATTATGCCAACTGGCCTGTCAAGTTCGCTTTTTGATCGCGTGATAGTGATCTTATACCGCACGCTTTTCGCGCGTAATTTTGCGTGTTCTGTCAATGGCACATTGTTCTTCAGTGAGCTGGCATGATATGATGGCCACCCACCTCTGTTGGCATAAACCAAGATATTGATTTTTACGGAACGTCACAGTGAATGTACCCTGGTCGTTTCCAGTTAGCTGATTAAGTCTTCGACTGATTCATTAGACGTTTCAGCGCCGAATGAGCAGTCGCGTATCGATGCTGATTTGTCAGTTGGAAGTCTAAACCGTTGTTTTTGTAAAAAAAAAGTTCTAGCCCGAGGGGAAAACGATTTGAAAAGAGAAAACCTTCTGTATTATGAGATCCTGACAAACTCCCGAAATCAACAAGCACCTCCCTGCACCTCCCTCAAATCAATCGAAAAGTAAAACACAAAAAAAGAAACATGGGCGAAGCTTGGAGCTGTGTAATTACAGACGTAGATGTCCATCTTATTTTTCTTGGGAACAATGTGACTTCCGGTGCACTGACCTGTCAGTAATTAAGTCAAGTGTTACTCATTACAAACCTGAGACGGCTGGCGACAGTTCCAACAAAGGGGGGAGTATCGTTAGCAAGAATGGCTTGAACAGGCTGGGAGAAAAAAATTTTAAAAGCGTAAAAAGGAAGGATAAAATTGTCCACGTAAAAAGCCCATATCAATTGTTAAAACAAAACATTTGAGAACGCCTTTCTTTGGTAAACATAGCACGTAGTATATGTAAAGCGGAAAATAATTTGGGACAATGTAAAATGCAAATTGAGAAAATGGCTTTTGCTGAACCCCCCGGTAAATTGTTGGCTCTACGTGATCTCCCTTGTCGCCATTTGAACACAGCCCGGGGAACACAGAAACAGTCTCTAAAGCAGGTCGGAAAACCACGCAATAAGAACTTTGCCACAAAAGCTCTTCGCGGCTTAAGCGGGCGTAGTTTCTTTCCCTGCTCTGGCTGTATACTATCCTTGTCACATTGCAAAACAGACCCACACAAACACTAGAGTCGATATTTATCACACAGCGGCATATCGGGTAAGGCTTGTTTACATGTAATTGGCATTGTATCGCGTATTCTAGTCCCTGTGGAGTATCAGAGGATCTGTCAGAAATATCACCAACGCTGTTGAGCGCGTCAGTAACTGTCGTCAATAAAGCGAGTTGCTGAGCAGTACTTGCCGAGCATAAGTTCTGGAAAGACCCAGAGAAGACTACGCAGCAAACTTTGAAAAAACCCACGCTATGAAATCTCTCCCCGTAACTACAACTTCTTACGTAGATCTCGGAAATAGACCAACACAATGAAGCCTTTCATCACTAAGCAATCGTTTGACTAGACGCGCGCGCTGATTGGCTGAAGTTTACAGTTGGCATGGCAACCAAATCTGGCGACTAATCATTACGTCACGTCCCACCCGAAAACCAGGTCCCCCGCGACGCGAGAAATAATAGCGTGTGTAATGTATGTATATAATATTCCCGATACTGCCCTTGGCAAGCTTCATAACAGTTTTGACTAATTACGGCGCGAGCGCTTCAGTTTTTGATGCGTCAGTACCGTGCCACAGAAGACACACGACGTAGTACGAACACGATTCACTGACAATGGAGAGAAAGAATAGCAACTGTGTTGTCCATGTACGACAAGATTCCGATAACGACCTTGAAGCGCTCTTTCACGTCGTCAACAAGAACGCAGTGGCCAAAACGCATCCCGATCCGACCTCGTCGGCCAACTCTTTGCCGATGCGCTTACGGAAACTACCTCCGTCGTTTTTTAAGCAGCCGCCGCTCGATGGTACTTTGTCACCAGACCAGGACACTCCGACAGGGCTGATCTCTCACTCTCGCGCGCACTCGTCGCCGGCATCGCTAACAGTTCCTACAAGCCTGAAAGGTCCCCACTCCTTGAGCCCCGTCGTCCATCAGCGATCAACTTCCTTCGATAACACAGCTTTACTCGAGGAACCAGCCCAGATGCCGCCTGGTTGGGAAATGAGAACAACGCCAAATGGCCAACGATATTTCATGAAGTAAGACTTTTATTGTGTTAGCGTCCCAAACCTAGTTGTATTGTGAATATCTTAACTCAACTTTAGTTAAATTACCACTTTAAATATTAAAGTGCACGCACGCCGACAGAAGTCGTAAACAGTTAATTTCTTCGCATTAGGAAGGCTTCATGTGTAAGGCGTCCCATTAGAGCATAATAGTTTTCGTATTTGAAACCGTTGCGTACTTTGTTAGTGATTTGGTGCCTTATTGTTTTCGACAATCCGGATCACTGAAACCAGTTTCCTTACATACGTGTCTTCACTACTCAATATGGCGGGTAGCCAAATTCGTATCTTACTAGAGTAAATACGATGCTCTCCCGACGTCAAAACTAAAACCGTTCTGTTCTTTCCCGCAGCCACTTCGATCAAGTAACAACATGGCAGGATCCAAGAAAAACTCAGTCAACTTCTAACCTGAACAGCATTCAACCAGCAGGCAATTTGCCTGATGGCTGGGAGCAGGCGATTACGCCAGAAGGCGATATTTACTATATCAACCACATTGAAAGAACAACAAGTTGGGTTGATCCGCGAATCGCAATGCACTGCAGAAATCAAGAAAACATGCGCGGGCCGCAGCTACCTCCCGAGATGAATCGCCATCGAACAATGCAACTTCAACGTCTCCAAAGAGAACGGGAACATCTTTTGAAGCGACAGCAGGAACTCCTGAAGCAAGAGATAAGACTGAAACGTGATATTCTAGAAGAAGGTGGAACGAAGTCTTCTCTTCTCGGAAATTTGACGCGAGAGGTGTCGTTGTTATCGGCTCAGGATCCCCCTGTGACAAGCGGAGGCCATATCAGGGATGAATCGTTCGATTCTGGCCTCGGAATGGGAGGTGGAAATTACCAGTTTCACGATGTGGACATGAACGATTCACAACCCATGTTTGACGCGAATTACAACTCTAAAGACAGTTCGTTCCGCACCGAGCCGGGTCGCAGACTGCCTGAGATTCTCGACAGCTTGCCAGGCACAAATGTCGATTTGGGCGTGTTGGAGGGTACAGATAACTCATCAAACATGGAAACCGACGATCTCGGAGTAGGATTGGAGTTCAACTCGGAGTTTAACGACGCGGTGGAATCGGTGTTAATTTCTCCGACCAAGATCGCCGACAACTTTTTAACTTGGCTCTGAGTGTACCCAGATCATTTATAGCTGATAGTTTTTAAGGATTTTTACAAGTGACATTCTTAACAGAGTGTAAAAGTGAGTATATAGTAGCGTTATTTAGCGATCAAACCATTTCTTTTTTACATTTTTACATACGCGTAAGATTACTACTGTAAAAGAAAAAAACTTGTTTCGCAGCGAAACTTAAAGTTCGGCTCTTAAGTCGAAATCATATAAAAGCTTAGGTTATTGTTCTAGATGGAAGGATAATAAGTAAGGAGCAGTATAATTTTTTGCCACAAGATTATCATAGTTTTTTTTTTTTTTAATAAAAAGTGCCTGTAAATAGGAATCGAGGCACTAACGCGTTTAATGGCAGAGTTTATCAACCCCGATGTCTCCGCGCCGACCAATTTGCCTTATTCCTCCGACTGTTTTTTCTGAACTGCCGTTTGCATAATCGAATGTGGTGTTAAAAATAAGATCCTTTTCTAATTCCACCCACAAGCAACTCTTTTGTTCATGGCTAATTACAAAACATCAAACGTGAGACCAACAGAATGACTCTGCCATTTTACGCATATAAAAATCATCCGTCAGCAAAAGCGTGGCTTGAAGCGTGCGGATTTTATGTTACCTGGCGTTGAATCTTTTCACAAACGCGCTTTCTCGATTGCGGCCACAAACCAGCGTTGCTTTTTGTTGGGCGAATTGTAATGGTTCATTAAGCTGTATACAGAATAATTGTGATAATTAGGGTAGATCTCTTGTGTTGGTGGCCGTGTTTGTACTTCAAAAAGTTGATTATCTCTGCAAAAAAAAAAAGCGCCATTTCCATTCATTCAATTGAGGACATTTATGCGGGTTCATTGCATGACCGAAATTTATATAGTTTGACGCGAATAGAAACGGTGGTTCATAGTTTTCTAGTTATATAAAATTCGTAAACCCAGCAACACATCGATGTTTTGCCTTAATGTAAATAACATTTTCCATTTTGATAGTTTAGCATTCTATTTTTACATATCAAAACGAACCGATAGGGGTGTTCATGTCGAGATTCACACAAGGCTTAATTTGCTGACCAAGGCGGATGAAAAGTCTAAAGGCGCCACGGATATACTAGCTAAGTTTAAACCACAAAGAAGTTATAATAGTATTTTTGTTTTCACTTCCTTTTTGGCTGTAAGCCATACACATTTTCCGTCTTTAGCTAGTGAAGCTGAGGATTAAAAACGCGGCAAGCGGCGCGGCTTGAGCTAGAGAGATTGTTTACTTTCGTCGTTGTATGCCGCCATATTCATTTATTGCCGGAAGATCCAGGCATGAAAACCCCTTCGAAATCGATGAACAAAGTATCATTATTTTTTACAAAACAGCTACATTTCGTAATGTTCTTACTGATGTGTTTCCCGGCGAAACCGTACATAATAAAGTATTTTATTAACAACAACAAGAAATGATGTTTGTGGTTGATATTTCGACGACAGAACCTCGCACGGCTCCTCAGGGCGAAACCGAGAAACAGCACGACATTTGACGTTTTTTGCATATGAATCGGTGAAAAAGCTACTTGATCACGTGCGATTGTTCACCTTCGGATCGGAGCTCAGGTGATTATTGTATAGAATCGTCTAGACAGACAAAATTTCCATCTGATTTTGCTGTTGAGCACGGATAACACACCCGCGTGCAAAATGTCAATGTGAACGCAACCTGTGATCGCAACAGTCAGGCGATCACAAACGAAAAAGAGTCAACTAGCTGTTAAAACCAGCTTCCTTGATCAGAGCCTTAACTTCAAAAGTTTCAGCGCAATGAAGCTGTTGCGTTAATGCGTAATCAATATTTCCGCCAAGCCACTAGCCTGTTAAATGATCAATTTACATCCATTTGGTGGAAACGTGCAAATATGTGTATTATACACGGTAAATACATGCCAGTACAGCCTGGAAAAGGATGAATTGGCCGTGATGTCATGAAGGTGTGGGCGGGTTAAAAATAAGACAAAAAAAAAATAATAGACTGCCTTCTTTTGTGATAAAAACCTCAACATCATTCGCTGTATTACTGCCAAAAAGGAAAGTTCTGAAAATTTCAATTACAAAATAGTTATATAACGCAATTAACAAGAGCTGTTCAATTTATTTCTGGAGGCATGAATTTCGAAAACAAAAGAAAATAAATGGAAAAAAGCCATTGCCGATATTAAACTCACACATGGAGACTAATCAGACAACAGACAACAGAAGTAAACATTTTTAACCAAACAGTCGTTTTAAATGCCGCATTTACTTATCTAGCCCGCGTAAATCAAACTATGGCACCTCGGCAATATCTATCTCAGGTTAAGTTATGCGGGTTTGTATTTTGTTGTCTTAGACAAGCACTATTCAGGCGTTTCACTTCCAAAAGAAGGTTAACAAAAAACATTTTCTGTCACTCAGACACTCGCGTTTTATTAGAACTGACCCGATGACCTTCACACACCCGCTGTTTCGATCTTGATAAAGAAACATTTTCTCAACCAGATGGCCGTACACCGTCCTGTTCAACCAGCTCTATACGTGTCCACCGTCAAAGTACAACACGCTTCAGACCGTGAGAAAATCCAGATACCATGTCGTTAAACATGCCGCGAAACTCCTAGAAAATTTGCACGAAAAGCGCTAATTTTTTGGGAGGGAAAATATCGCTTGACAAACGTGAGCCGGGTCTTTAATTTCAGGATTTTTTCTTCGTTAGTTACACCTATTTTTTCCGTTTTGTACAAGGCATTAGCACTGTTAATCCTTCAAAGATGCGCTTTCCGCTTTGTTTAACAAAAGATGTACCAGTTCAGAGTCCTCCTTTTCTTTATAGTTTCCGGTGAGTATGCGAAATGAAGGGTATCCAAATTTCCGCGTAGGAGGCCCATTACTAGGATGTGCCTGGGCAGGCAGATTTCAACAGTGTAGTATTCTAGTAATAGCTGATAAAAGAAGACGGATACAACAAATTACTGCAATTATTAAAATTGTCCACTTCTAGTTTCAGAGCAGGAAACCACCCATGCAAAAAAATGTCTCTGGAACCAAACAAACAGACAGTTTGATTAGTTCATGTTTGCACAGTAAGCAAAATCAGGACGTTGTAATTAAAAGTGTTTTAGAAATGTTTACGAGGTACACAAATTATCGTTTCAGTATCATTTTTTTTGAGCGTCGAACGTTTTAATTTAGCTCTTCCAGCTCAGCATAAACAGGTAAACAGATTACGAACGGTTACGCTCGACACATATTGTGCTGTTTTAAATGACGTGGTCGGCATAACTAAGACCTCGACGGAAAGGAGTACGCTATCCGAAAGCTAAAGCCATTAGTTTTTCTTCTTTTTTAATGTTAAATTAATTTACTCCTAGAACAGTGATTACACGCAGAAATAGTCACCCCTACCAAGTTTCTTTTCTTGCCCCTTGTTTTCATCCTTAGAAGAAATCAGATGTTTTCGCAGTGAGCTTTGCAAGCATTGGCTCACGATAAGTGAGATCCTCTTCTAACCAGAGTTGGCTCCAGAAGTTATGGTCACTGAACCAAGTAAACATCACAGTTCTTTCTCTAGTCTTGTTGAAAGTGAGTCAGATGATTGATTATCGTTCAAGCAAACAGGCTCTCAGTTTATCATCTTTCGCTGCCCGCAATGGTGTGTGCAATATTGTGGAGTAATTTCGCTATTAATTAATGCAGGGGATGGAATCAATGAGAAAGGACATTAGGGTGGGGCGCGTTCTGGTGGTGGATGGGTACACTTTTCGGTATTTGCGCACGGAATGGACATCGACAGCGAGAAAATTTATGTACTGTCGCTGTTCCTTTTGTGGGGAGACCTTGGCTCGTTTGCTACTTGAATTATTGTTAACTCTCTGAACCGAGGCAGCTTTAACCAAAGGTGCATTGGGGTGAGGGTAGGAGCCCATCTCAGCCCATGAATTAGACAGCGTGAAGATAGGAGGTTTTTGGTCGCCGAGTTTGTTATTGACGTTTGCGCAAGTAGATTGCGTACAACGTTGGTTGGGAAAGAAGTAAGCTGATCGCTGATGCCTGCTAGACCCATTCATACATTCCATAAGGGTTGCGAGAGTGGCTGTATAAATAAAACCGTCGGGATGCCTGGGAAATAGACAGTCGTCTAACGAAATAAAGAAAAAGCAACAAACTCAGAGATCTGAGATGCTGAAGAAAGATCGACGACACGAGCAAAACAAGTGTATATACGAGTAAAATAACTCGACAAGAGAAGGATTGTGCCGGCCGGATGCATGTCAGCGCAGACATTCTGTCTTTCGTGACATGGTCGATGGGTTCTCGGCCCCCCAGACGACCAATCTATAGAGACAATAATAGTAACTTAAAAATTTAGCTATAAAGATTTAGAATTTAAATGTAGTTGACAAGGAATGAGTGGCATTCCTAACAAGATACAGAGAGATAAAATTCGATAGATATAAGTTCAGTGGTTTTTCATAGACATATTTTTTTCTGCGATCACGAATACAGCTGCGCTATGATTGGTCGACTCACTGAATGAAACACGGATCTAACAAACCTATATATATATATATAATGAAGTTCCAGATATGATAATAAACGATATTCTTCGCCCCAGTAATAGCCTGATAACATATATGGAAAAGAACCTTGATATAACGAAACTTCGTTATATATATCAGATATATAGCGAAAATATTTTGCCAGTTCCCTGGGCCCTTTGTTAAATCGAGATTCACTTGTAGTTAAGTTGAGTCATACTTCAGGTATAAAGCCGTTCAAAACAAGTTTATGCCTCTCTGAACTAAAAAGTTCCTTCTCAGCCGGACATTGAAAAATTGACCTAAAATAACTTAGTCATGCTCTAAATTGTCACCATACTCTTTGAGGTAAGAGCTGTAAAATCAGAAATATTGTTACTCTGGACACTAAGAACTTCCGGATTTTTTACGTTCTGTAGCGATATAATGCATTAAAATGAAAGAAGTCGTCACTCACGGTATTTTGAGGGGTTTTTGGCCACGTACAAAATTACCCTTAAATTAAAGGAAACCTCAAAATAATAGTTTACTGAGATTGAAAAACACTAAAGAGATAATTAGAAACCATAAAGGAAAAAGAATGGTTAAGGATGGAGAAGATTAACAAGGATAACAAACGACGAGTTTGTAAAATTCAGGCTAAACTTTTGAAGAAGCGCAAACCTTGACCAAGCTCAATATGTCCAAATTTGAGCGTGCATTTATCGCCATTTTCCCAATCACTCAGCAGGGATATTGGCTCAAAAAATAATTAAAGGTTTTTGTCTACGTGATGCAAAGCAAGATATAGAGCAAAATTAAAGACGAATAGGAATTGACTTCCGTTCTTCTAGCCGGAAACAGTTACTCATCTTCCCTGCCACGCAAAACTTATGTTATCGCATTCAGGGGCCATGTCGCGTGGGTTATTTGGAGAGTTTTCCTGTGACGCTGAAAAAAAGAGCAATACTACACAAAAAAAGTCACGTTTTCGGTTATTTTAGCATGTGTCGT